ACCCGGGTTGGGACCTTTGCGAGCCAACACTGTGGACCATATATTGTGATATTGTTCAATATTTCGTTCCTAGTGCATTGAAAATGCAGAAAACCTATAGAATTTTGACAGATCCTTACAAGGAAGATTTTCACTTCTTGACTCTACTCGAGTGGTTCTCACCATTGTCTTGGTGGAGACAAGAGAGGTCAAGAGGATTCTAGACTGTCAAAGACAAAGGGGAGTTACTGAAGACTCTCTCAAAGATCTAACCTCAATCTTCATCATCCATTGTCCATACTTTCTAAATCCTGCAAGTCAATTATGGTCAAGAAATGAAGCCTACATCTGGGGCAGCTTCGAGACCAATCTACTTGATGAAAGTTATAGGACCCAACTGGTACACTATCTCTTTGCAATCAACAACTACCATTTCAAGCCGGTAGACCCCAATATTGTCGAGTTCATCCTAAAGACCGCTTAGTTCTTATCCTTTGAATAGGATCGTTGTAACATCCGAGTATTTCCCAAAAAAAATTTCATTAATGTAATGAAATATTTTGTCATTAACTTTAATAAAATGATATTATGAGTTATTTTAAGACTTGATAATTTTTAAGGACATTAATAAATGATATATATCATGAAATTGTAATAGAGTGAAATAAATAAATTTAGAATTGAGTTTAAAATGAAGTAATAATAATAATAAGAGTAATATCATTAAGCAAAAAAAAATTAGTAATATAATTTTCCATTGAGGAAAAAAAATTCAAATGGCAATTACAATTTTAAGTATCGGTAAATTGGCAATTGTAATCTTAAGTAAGAGCAATTTAGGAAAGGAAGGCAAATAATATAATTTAAGAAAGGAGAAAGACTCATTTCTTTCTCACTTACGGAAGCCAATTTGGAAGCACGGGAGGAAGAAGAAGAAGCTTGGTTTTACTTGCCCACACCATCTTATTTCATCCTTTTTGCAATTAAGAGTAAGATTCATGAAATTAAAGCATTGAATTTCAACATTATCTCCTAAAATCTTCTTAATCTCAAGTATATGGTTATTTTGATGCTTATAGGATACAAACCCTTTCTTGAACTAAGGATCTCCATTTTCTTGTTTGAAAGCTTCATTTGAGAGGTAAGGAGAGTCTTCTTGTCATCAACCCAAGGCTAAACCACCATTTATCTCACTTCTACATGAATTCGAACCAAATTAGAATATTTTATAAAAATTTCGTATGGTTGTTCTAGTATATTTGGATACTCTACAATGCTCCTTTCATATTATAGAGTTTAGAAATGGATTCCTTGGATGCTAAAACCTAGAGTTAGCCTTAAAAATCACTTAAATTGGATTTTTCTAGAGGAAGATGATGAAATATGTGCTGAGAGATGTTGTTGGAAAAAAAAATCTACATGTGAACAGAATCTTTGAGAAATTATGTAAAAATATTTAATTGGTATTTAATTCTGAAATTTTGATTACATGTTCCTTTATATGTTTAGTTTGTGTGTGATTTATTTCAAAATTTTCTGACAAGTTTATTTTCGATGAAAAATCTTGGAAGTAAATAGGTTTTGAGTTGGGTGAAACAGAATTGCTATGTCAGCTTAGAAACTTTGAAAAATCATATAAAATCGAAATTGAAGTTTATTGAGATCAAATTTTTATCATAGTTGTGATTGTAGGTATATGTTAAGTATATTTATTTTCATAATTTTATGAGCATTATTTTATTTTATAAAAATATATCTTTGAGTAATGCCCTGATAGTGGAATCTTCAAAACGTATGAAAAGGGAGGAAAGTTTTGAATAACTTAGAAATCTTTAAATTTTGAGTTATAATTTTTATTATAATCATAGAATATATGTATTTTGGACTGGAAAATTTCATAGAATTTGGAGTTTTTTTAGATGGCAAAGATTTTTTCCAAAGTTACACTTTTCTAATGCTTATGATAGACTTTTCTTCCTAGAGAAGTGTAAACAAAAATTTAGTTTTGGACCTATTATTTATTTTATGAGTATGTATGATGTGACAATGATAGTGTAATGAGATATTTTAGGACACAAGATTAGAATAACAAGAGTTTAAAAATATTGGATGGATCGCAATGTGTGCTGAGTCCGAGAGTGTCCGACCCTCGACAAATTGATATTGTTCTTGTTTGATGCAAGAAAATGTGTTATATGAATTTGATTTGAATGTATTTGTAAATTGGGAAACGTCCAAATTACAAAGGAGACTCTATCAAATTTTTGAAATTGATGAAAAATAAATAAAGCTTAATAAGAATGATATAAAGAAACGTTATGAATAGGTAATGCATTCATAATCATGGTAGTCAGTAGAAATGATGTCTATAGGATGTTTATGCTATGTGCTGAGTCTAAGTCAGAGATGTTGGTCATCTAAAAATAGGGTATTATGTCTATAGTGATATGGTATGTATGATGTAGAGTTTGTTTCTACCAAATATATTGTTGTTAAAGAGTTGGTGGTGTCACTCAGTGACGAGATATGTGTGTGGATGGTACGGAGATACACCGGAGGCTTAGGAGATAAGAGAAGATCAGAGTGATATTGGGAAAATATAGAGTGCATTGTTTGGTCACGCTCTATACTCCTGACTTGCCTCTTTGACTTTGCCTTTTTGTCAAGGGATCGTTATGCGTAAGCATTGTATCTGTGATGCGCAGATCAACTGGTAACTATCTATACTTCTGTGAGTCATTTATGCTTGTGTGTAATTTTGTTATGCTTGTGAGAGTTGTCTGTACTTATGTGTGATCCTTTCATGGATTGAGAGATGGGATTGATATGTATCCTAGGTGCATGAGCATTTCAAAGGTAGTAAAAAAAATGAACGAATGAAACACAAGCATGCATTGTGTGTTTTTAGTTTGAGTAATGCGATTTGTGGAGATTGTTTGAAATTTCTGTGTGAGATACTTTATTGTAAGAATGAAATGTTTGACTATAAATGTTACATATGGTTTTAGATTGTGGAAGTTGGAAAAAATTTCGATTTAGTGTTCTGGAGTGATGAGAAAAGGAAATTCATCCTTACTGTTATATTTCAGGTAATGATGGAACAATTGTGGTGGAGGAACCACAGTTTGATTGAGTATCATATATATATATATATATATATATATATATATATATATATATATATATATATATATATACATATATATATATATATACATGGAGGAATGCTGCCCTCCGGGAGAGGCATGATCTTGTATAAGAAAGTTAGGAATTTTGGGTACCTGCTCTGATTAAGATTTGATTTATTTTGAGATGTATAAATTTAAATTAAGTTCTAATCGTTTAAGGGTACCAACTTTATGTAATTACAGTATGATTCTTGTTGGATTAGTTATTTTGAAAAACAATGTATTATGATTATGAATGTATATGTATGAACATGTTCGACACCTTATCTATATATATTTATTCACGCATGACCAATTTTAAAGTTCATTGTCATAAAGAAATAATATTGTAAAAAAAAATTATCCCATTTTTGAGAAATTAAATAAATTAGAAGAAAAAAATAATAAATGATGTTATAATCGTCCTAAAAAACGATGAATCTCAACATATAAGGTTCTTCAAATCAACGACTAAGATCTACGTACCCAAAAAATAATTCCAAAAGGTTGAAGACTTAAGAATGATTACAACGAAAAATTGATGAAAAAAATGATGATGTACAAGAAAATGTATTCCACTAGGACCCACTACATGAAAATATGACAAGGAGCAAGGTCCAGCAGATGAATCATTCTGGTTCCAGTAGATCTGACTAAAGTAAAGACTTTAGTTAATGGTTGTCATCATGACATGCTACTAAAGTAAGATTCTCTTATCTTTACGCGTATCTATTGCGAATTTTGCAAATATGTTAATGAAGATGAGACCGAATCAACTTTACTTTATCTAAAGAGATATGGTATCTTATCATATATTATCTTGTCTATAAGATATCTCGTGACATCTTATCCTGTCTTGTCTTTTTATAAGGCCATAATGAGTGTGGGCTGCAACTTTATCTTCAGATTCCGTTTTGTATGATATTTTGGGTTCGAAGTTCACTTTAGTTTAGGGTAAGTTTGAATTTTGCTTGTGTGGTTTGTCTATAAATAGGAAGGGCTTGTAATGTTGTAACTCAGAACAAAAAAGAATCATCCAATACAAGTTCTTTTTCTAAAAATGTTATCTCTCTAAGTTTTCTCTTCTTTAAAAGTCTGAAGCACATAGTTCTTATTATCATTCCCTACTTAGATGTAAGTATGCTCTACACTTGCCTCTTATGAGGATCTTGTGTATCAGAAAGTTTTCGATTCCTAAAACCATTTTATCGCAAAACACTCTTCTTATAAGAAATATGAACTTGAGTGACCTTTTAAGCCGAGGTGGCGTCGTTGTGCCCGATGAGATTCATATTATCTGGATAAGAAGGGGTCTTTATCAAAAATGATATAAGAGCCTAACCATTTTTTAGAAGAAGATACGATAGTAATAGGAAATATACGCGGAAAGTGAGTAAGATAAATATTTAGAAATGAATCATCTTTAGAAATGATTTTTTTTTTTTTCAAATAAGTTTACTTAAGCATATAAAAAATATATAAGAAGAGATTATTTTATTAATAAAATATTTTTAAATTAAAACAAACTCGTTTGATGAATTTAAAAAATAACATTATTAAAGTATCTGAATGTCCACATATTTCTTTTAATTTTTTATTTTATTTTATTTTTTCACTTTTAAAATATATAAATTATAATAATAATAATAATAATTTTTCTTCGGACTATGGTATTTTTTTTTATAAAGAGAATAACCATTATATATAATTATAATATTTATTTTATAGGTAAAAATTGAAGGAATGAATTAAGTACAGAATAGGTTTATAATGTAATCTAAAATAACAGTAGAAGGGAAACAAAAGCTGCAAATAATTTGGTGATGGTCTCATGGTATTAAGATTGAAGAGATCTCAGCGGCCGGATAGAATTTGGGAGATGGACATGTGGTAAATGTCTTGATAGATAATGTCACAACCTTGTTCTTTTTCAGAATGGGTGGGGGTAGTAGGGCTCCACTGGTCTACCAGAGGGACCAAGACATTGACTGCATGCCCCATGTCGGGCCTTTGGTGTGGTTCAGGAGCAGTGCAATGACCTGCCAACTCAGCCACTACACATATGCTCTCCATGCTTTCATGTTCAAGGTTGAGAGTTTCATCAATTGCCTCTGTGATGTTCTCCATGTTATGTATTATCCTACTACGGAACCATGAAACCAAGTGAGACATTTGTTCCGGCAGAGTATTATCTATTGTCTTTCTACCGGTAATCAGTTCCATCAAAACTATTCCAAATGCGTACACATCCACTTTGGTCGTCACTCTTCCAGTAGCTGCCAACACCAAAAACAACAATAATACCATTTTACATCCATCACTTTCTTTCTGTCCTATCATATCAGTGGCCAATGCTTTTAAAAGGTTCAACTAAACTTGAAATTCGTGAGTGCTGATACACATGCACTCACTTTTACCTCTACTTAATAAACACGCCATAATGAATACTATACTACCTTTTATTTTCCATCGTATTAATGCATCTATGTTTTTCTTATTTAATAATGTAAATCTCGTCATTCACAATCATAATATCATTATTGTGTTCATTGCAAAACATAAGACTTAGCTAGAAAAAGGTTTTCTATACCTGCATATTCAGGTTCCAGATATCCAAGTGTTCCAGCCACTCGAGTCCAGACAGAATCCTCTCCACCAGGGGCAATAATTTTAACCAAACCAAAATCTGCAACCTTGGCTCTCATGTCATCACCCAATAATATGTTTGAGGGTTTTAAGTCCCTGTGAACGAAGCTTTGCTGAGCTAGGTGGTGCAAATATTCCACTCCTCGTGCTACGTCCAAAGCTATAACTACCCTTTGTTTCCAAGTCAATGGAGCAGTGCCATTTTCACGCCAAGAGAACAGATGTTGTGTTAATGTCCCTTGAGGCATATACTCGTACACCAAAACCCTTTCGCGCTCGTTGATACAATGCCCTAACAAAGCCACCAAATTCCTGTGCCTCACTTCACTCAGAACTGCAATTTCTGCTTGGAACTCCTTCAGTCCCTTACTTCCCCTCGCACCACATTCCATCCTCTTCACAGCAACTTTACTTCCATCATGCAACTCCCCTTTATAAACAACTCCAAATCCTCCACTACCTAAAATGTTATCTTCATTGAAATTATTTGTTACTTGCCGAAGAAACTGAATTGACATGGTAACACTTTCATCCCCAAAACTCGGAACAAATTCGTTTCCGTTTTCTCGTTTATTAACCTTTCCCAATTTCTCATGCCAGTTTTTGATATGGCAAATGCGAAAGATAAGCACAACCACCACAACACAAAACACAACAATAACAATAATACCTGCTATCCAAGCAGGAGAGTGTGAAGAACCACCTGACGCTACATTTGGACTTCCACTTTGTGCATCACCAGAACCGTTTGCCGGACCCGGAGTAGTTCCACTGACACCACCACCTTCAGGATACCCAAGCAGAGGATTACCTCCAACATTGAACTTCACCTGGGTTGCGACAATTGGAACATAACCAGATAGGTTGTTATTAGACACATCCAGAACCTCAAGCTGAGTCAAACTAGCCAAGTCTCGCGGTATTGAACCGCCCAAATTGTTGTCATTGAGATACAGGTTTTTCAAATCAGTTAAATTGGCAAATGCAGGTGAAATCGTTCCCGTCAAATTCTGCTTCGCCAAATTCACCGTAATAATCTTCCCCGCAGCGCACACAACGAAACTCCAATCGCGACAAGGATCATTCCCGGACCAGGAACGCGCCAACTGAAGAGGATACCCGAAATGCTTAGCAATATCAACCAAAGTGGTGACGCGAGAATTGCAAGGTCCAGGATCTTTCTTACAAAAACTATTCATCCCATCTAGAGTGACCTTCACATCTTTTCCAAAGGAAGGAACAGGACCCTGAAGCACATTGTTCTCTAAAGAAACGTTCTGCAAACTAGAAAGGGACATCAGAGAAGGTGGAACCGCACCAGTTAACTGGTTGTCCTTCAGCTGCAAATCAAACAAAACGGTGCAACTTGACAAATCCGGAATGGGACCCGTGAACAGGTTCTTGTGAAGCCACACCTGAGACAATTGGGTCATTGATGCAAGCACCTCAATGGTACCGGAGAACCCGAACCCGTCCTTCTGATTGTTGAGCCACAGATTCCGAATCGCAGATCCCGCGAAGGTCTTTGGTAAACCCCCAGTGAGGATGTTGTAAGAGAGACGAAGCTCCTGCAAACTCACAAAGGAGTCAAACACATCAGGCAAGGTACCCACGAGGTTTGCGTTTCCGAGGTCGAGTTTGACGAGATTGGAGGACTGAGTCAACTCGGTGGGAATGGTCCATGGAGCGAGGTTGATGCTGTCTGTCATGCTTAGGCTTTGTAAGCTAGTGAGACCCTGGAAGCAACCCTCGGGGATAGAGGTGAAGTTGTTGCCGTCGAGGAAGACGCTTTCCAGCATGGAGAGGTTGGCGAGGGAAGGCAATGCGCCGGAGAGCGTGTTGCCCTGGAGAGAGAGCGAGGTGAGTTGGGAGAGGGTGTTCAGGTCCCGAGGTAGCATTCCGGTGAGTGACTGCGAAGCAATGTTGATTGAGGTGACGCGGTTAGCGCTGCAGCTCACGCCCTTCCAGCTGCAGAAGCTGCTCCCCGACCACCCCGTGGGCGTGGGACTCAAGGCTTTGGCGAGCTTGGACATGAAGGCGGCATCGTCGGCAATGGCGGTGCAGGCGAGAGTCGCAAAGAGAAGAAAGAGTTTCCGGAGAACAATGAGTGAAGGTAGAGTTTTGGAGTTCAGGGGGTCTGTCATTGAGAATGGGAACAAAGAGACGGGAACAAAAGAAAGACTATGTATTATATACATTGAAAATTACAAATAAACAATCATTCCTAAAAACAACATCTTTCCAGTGTCTTTCCTAGAAAGATGGATGTTATGTTCACAATCCCATTCCCAATCAACAACTCTAAATAATATAATAATAAATAATATGTTTATATTAGTGTATTTGGTTGTTAAATGAATATTTTAGTAAACATGATGTGAAAACATCATGTTTTTTCTTCGACCAATATTATATCCTGACATCCATGCTTTTATATTTATATACATCCAATCTATATAACGTGCTTTATTAACATTATAATAATAAAATATGATTAAAATAAAAATAATTAAAATTTTTTATTTTAATAATAAAGGAATCTGTCATCGGATTATTAAAAAATAAAAATAAAGGTGGTGTATTTATATATACTTCCTCCCATGCAGTTCCTCTTTTGGGTTTTCTTCGTCATAGCTCTACCCAACTTAATTTACCATCACTTGCAAAAGCCAAATGTCACCACTGCAGTAAAAAATACTGCTATAACGAAAACTGTACCTGCGACCAAGCACGGACGCCATGTTTGAACTTCCACTCGATGCATCACCGCGTCCTCTCACACCCCCTTTTGAATCCCAAATAGATTAATAAAAAAGACAATATTTTTTATTAAATTTAACAAACTTTATTTTTTATTTACCTTTAAAGATACAAGAGTAAAAAAATAAAAGAAACTAATATTTTCATAATATCTAAGATAGGGACTTATAAATAAAATAAGTAAATGAATAAAAAAATACAAAAATTCTCATAATCAATAAAATGGTTAAATTAATTAATTTTAATTCACTACAAGAAATATTATTGAAATTACTTAAAAATCTATCAGTAATATTTTTATTATTTAATTATTATCCCATAATTACCTTAGAGTTAGAGGTTGATATTCCAATCTGGTAAGCTACTAGAATTTTTGATAATAATTTACAAATAAATTATATTTATATACAAACATATGTAATTAATTGTTAATTTACCGATGGATTTACTTGACGGAAATATCCGTCGTTAAATAATTATTAATTTACTAACCAATTTATCGACGTATATATTTGTCGGTAATTAATTGTTAATTTATCGATGGATTTACCGACGGATATATCTGTCAGTAATTAATTATTAATTTATCGACGAATATATCCGTCAGTAATTAATTGTTAATTTACCGACGAATATATCCGCCGGTAAGACCAAATTTTATATCCGTTGATAATTTCCGTCGGTAATGACTCATTTTTCGACAGCTACAAATCCGTCGATAAAAATCTATCAGAAATACGCGATTTTCTTATAGTGATTAATATAATATCATAAGTTTAAATTATATTTCATATATATATATATATATATATATATATAATCCAAAAAATTTAATAATAAAATTAATAAAATGTTTGACATATGGTCCGAAACATACATATGAGATCATTCCCAAATCCTATAATATCTTCATCAATAACACGTTTTCTCCTATGCTTACACAATGAATAAAATCATAAACAAATGATAAAAAACATTAAACATTGGTATAATTATAATAATACAAAAGAATAGTAAAATATATGTATATATATATATATATATATATATATATATATTATCTTTGCTCATATTAAGAGTGACATCACCATACGTTTTGGTTAAGTTAAGAATGTAATGCTTACTCACTCCATTAGTTGAACTTCTGTATTGGGCAAAGATACTAGAGCAACAACATCATGAACTTTATCAACCATTACTTATATATAGTTTGTCTATAAAGGGACACCATGAATGGTTAAGTCACCCTTAAAAACTCGACCAACAATGCATACTCATCCCACAACAATAGATGGGGTGCATCATTTAGCTTCTGACGTTCCTGGACAATTAGTCTTTTATCCTTAATACAAATAAGAACATTAGAGTAATACATTAGGTGTTATTAATGTAAGAATTACTAACAATTAACCTACCGAAAAGGGTCTAATTGACTAACATTAAATTGAAACCAATCTTCTTTTTAAGTAGAGAGTTTCATCTTAATACTTTCTAGATGCATACTCATGTGTCAAGAACATCTTAAAAGTCTTCCATCTAGTGACAATGGAAGATAAAATCTTCTTTCTCATTACTTCAGTGTTAGGAATGCCAAATTTTGTTGTCAAATTACCAACAAATGTTAAATTCAATTATTAATAGATGAAGTGTTCAACAAATGTAGAAATAAATAAATATCCTACCACATGAGGTTCTTCTCGAACTCTTTAACATTATCCCAAGATGGAATAATAATAAAAACATGGTGTCGAGCTAAGAGTCTCAAATAATTTATAAACTTAGCAGCATTTTGGTCAATACCTTACCAAAACGTGAGTCGACGTCAACTTATGTCATTTCCTTAATAACACGGTCCACTGTCGACCCCTTCAATCGGACAACAGATATACCTCCACCTTTATTCCTACCACCGTCATTGTTTGATATCAAATCCGACATACTTTTAAAAAAGAAAACAATATAATTAATAAATTTTAACAAAATGAATGCAACAATATGCAGAACAAACACCTATTATATTGATATATTTTCTTATATTTCTTTATCATGATCACTTTGAATAACATGCATGTCGTTCACTTCATTGTCAACAAGATAATCAAATATTTTACTTGAAAATGAAGGTGTCACATGTATATCTAAAGACTCGTCTTCGTAAATTCCATAACAAAATATTCATCCTTGTAATCGAGCTTACTCAAATAAATCAAAGTAAATCATAAATCACAAACAAATTGAAAAAACTCATTAATTTCCTTTTTTTACTCTTCACTGTTATGTCATGTATGTTTCATTCAATTCCGATCCATAACTATCTATGTTTCAAATTTCTTCACTCCTAGAAACTCAAATACATATTCATATTTACAAGAAGGATCATCTATTTGCACAAGTATCATGATCGGATAATGTGATTGTTTTTACAACAAGAAGGTAAAAAACCCAACCTCTCATTGTTCATGGACCAAGAGCTGGTGCCCAAGTCACTGGTAGCGGAATATTCAGTGACATCTTAAGACTTGCATCATTTCTTGGTGCTCCATCATAAATCTTATGCACTCTTCTGTTATGTAGCATAATTTATCTCTTATTCTCGTAGTTTTGATGAAAGCAAAAAACTAATGTAATAAATATTAGAAATTGTAGATGAATCTAATTTAATTATGTGGATCGATTTTTAAGACAAGAATTGTGCTAAAATTCTATCATACTCATTGTTAGGGTTAATTTAACTTCTGCTAATTGTTGAAGTCTTTAGCTTTATATAAGCAAGTAAAGAGTGATTTAAGTTATTATTATTTTTATTATTACACTATATAATATCTCAATACATAATTATTTATTATTCATCAATTCTTCTCATAAAATTTTCACAGCTTTCTTGTTATACTTGAAAAATATTTTTATTGCTATTTATTGAATAAGGCACGTTTAAAGTACAAAAAGTACCAATATACAACCTACAATACAAATCCTGAGACAGTGATAAAAAGCCCATGTACCAGTTGGGGCCCAAAGCATAATTGGGTCTCTATACTCATTTATGTTTATTAAATTTTAACTTAAAATCAACTAGGGTTAATTGAAAGATATATAAATACAAAATAAGTTTAATATAATCCCAAATAATACAGAAGGGGAACAAAACCTGTAAATAATTTTAGTGACGATTGAATTGGTGATGGTCTCATCATAATTTATTACTTCACAACGATTACGAGAGAATATAAATTCTTATTTTTAAGGATATAGGCATACAATTTAAGTCATTAAAGCTCGTCGTTAATTATATTTAATAATTTTTTTAAGGCATCAAACTTTTTTAATAAAATTAATAATTGTGATGACTAATGACAGATCTATATACAGGAGAGGATATATACATCCCTAATTTTGTTAAAATTATTACTAAATTAAAAACAAATTATTTTATCCTCCCTAATCTTACATATTTAACTTATTAATCGTTGTTCATAACAAACATGTATTTAGTTAAAAGTGTGCAAATAGTGAATTATCTGTGTACCGGCGAGGACCAAACTACAAATGCATAATGAAGTGGAAATTATAGCAAATAATGAATATTAATTAAATATACACTGTAATTGGTAGCTGAACAAGTAAGTAGTCGTACGCGGCATGCATGCATGCATGGTTATGTGGCTTAGGGTTTGAAGACATGCGTAAAGGTCTATAGATTGTCCAATGACGGCGTGTGTTGGAGCCCACAGCACGTCCTTAATGACCATCATCGATCATCGGCACACAATTTTGGTGGGAAAAAAGTCTTTCGACACGCGTACCACAGAAAGCAGATCCAAAGGAAAAGAGAAAAGCAGTAACAATACAAGTAAGGATCTGAAAAGTTCTTGTAACTAAAAAGATGACATGAATAATTAAACCTTAGAAAAATAAATAAATCCTGTATACAGTTCAGTGATGCTTGATGGAAAAACGATGATAGTAAATTAATTCATTGAAGACATCTCAACGGCCCGACAGAATTTCCGACATGGACATGTCGTTAGTTCCTTCATAGATCATATCACAAAAACCTTCTTCTTCTTCTGCATGGCTGCAGGTAGCGTTCCATTGCTCTACCAGAGGAACCAATACATTCACTGCATGCCCCATTTCGGGCCTTTTCTTTGGTTCAGGAGCAGTGCAATGGCCTGCCAGCTCAGCCACTTTACATATGCTCTCCATGCTTTCATCGTCAAGATTGAGAGTTTCATCAATTGCCTCTGTGATGTTCTCCATGTTATGTACTATCCTACTGCGGAACCATGAAACCAAGTGAGACATTTGTTCTGGCAGAGTATTATCAAATGCCTTTCTACCGGTAATCAGTTCCATCAAAACTATACCGAATGCGTATACATCCACTTTGGTCGTCACTCTTCCAGTAGCTGCCAAGAAAAATATCACTCTAATTTCAAGCAAAGGAACATATATAAAAAAAAAATGATATTAGAAAGTACGATATTGTACAATAGTAACCTATAATACTAATAACAGAAAAGAAAATAAATAAAAACTCAAAAAATGAAGACAAAAATATGTATTCAAAAGCTTTCTTTACCTGCATATTCAGGTTCCAGATATCCAAATGTTCCAGCCACTCGAGTCCAGACAGAATCCTTTCCACCAGGCGCAATAGTTTTAACCAAACCAAAATCCGCAACCTTGGCTCTCATGTCAGCACCCAATAATATGTTTGAGGGTTTTAAGTCCCTGTGAATGAAGCTTTGCGGAGCTAGACGGTGCATATATTCCACTCCTCGTGCTACATCCAAGGCTATTGCTAACCTTTGTTTCCAAGTTAATGGAGCAGTGCCATTTTCACGCCAAGAGAACAGATGTTGTGTTAATGTCCCTTGAGGCATATACTCGTACACCAAAAACCTTTCGCTTTTGGTAATACAATGCCCTAACAAAGCCACCAAATGCCTGTGCCTCACTTTACTCAGAACTGCAATTTCTGCTTGGAACTCCTTCAATCCCTTACTTCCCATTGCACCACATTCCATCCTCTTCACAGCAATTTTACTTCCATCATGCAATTCCCCTTTATAAACAACTCCAAATCCTCCACTACCCAAAATGTTATCTCCATTGAAATTATTTGTTACTTGCCGAAGAAATTAATTGACATGGTAACATTTTCATCCCCAAAACTCGGAACAACTTCCTTTCCATTTTCTAGATTATTAACCCTTCCAACCTTACCGTGGCGGTTTTTAGCATGACACTTGCAAAAGACAAACACAACCACCGCAACAAAAAACACAGCAATAACAACAATACCTGCGATCCAAGAAGGAGAGAGTGAAGAACCACCTGACGCTGCATTTGGACTTCCACTTGGTGCATCACCAGAACCATTTGACGGAGTAGTTCCACTGCCACCACCACCTCCAGAATGCCCAAGCAGAGCATTACCCGCAGTATTGAACTTCACCTTGGTTGGGAACTTTGGAACATCACCAGATAGGTTGTTATAAGACACATCCAGAACCTCAAGCTGAGCCAAAGTAGTCAAGCCTCCCGGTATGGAACCGCCCAAATTATTGTTATTGAGATACAGGTTTCTCAAATCAGTTAAATTGGCAAATGCAGGCGAAATCGTTCCCGTCAAATTCTGCTTCGCCAAATTCACCGTAATAATCTTCCCCGCAGCGCAGACAACGAAACTCCAATCGCCACAAGGATCATTCCCGGTCCAGGAACGCGCCAACTGAAGAGAATACCCGAAATCCTTAGCAATATCAAGCAAAGTGGTGACGCGAGAATCGCAGGGTCCAGCATCTTTCCTACAAAAACTATTCACTCCATTGAGAGTGACCTTCACACCCTTCCCAAAGGAAGGAACAGGACCCTGAAGCACATTGTTATCTAAAGAAACGTTCTGCAAACTAGAAAGGGACATCAGAGAAGGTGGAACCACACCGGTTAACTGGTTGTCCCTCAGCTGCAGATCAAACAAAGTGGTGCAATTTGACAAATCCGGAATGGGACCCGTGAAAAGGTTCTTGTGAAGCCACACCTGAGACAAGTGGGTCATGGAAGCAAGCACCTCAATGATACCCGAAAACCCGAACCCGTCCTTCTGACTATTGAGCCACAGATTCTGAATCCCAGATCCCGCGAAAGTCTTTGGCAAACCCCCGGTGAGGTTGTTGCAAGAGAGACAAAGCTCCTGCAAACTCACAAAGGAGTCAAACACATCAGGCAAAGTACCCACGAGGTTTGCGTTTCCGAGGTCGAGTTTGACGAGGTTGGAGGACTGAGTCAAGTCGGTGGGAATGGCCCATGGAGCGAGGTTGATGCTGTCTGTCATGCTGAGGCTTTGTAAATTAGTGAGACCCTGGAAGCAACCGTCGGGGATGGAGGTGAAGTTGTTGCCGTCGAGGTAGACGCTTTCCAGCATGGAGAGGTAGGCGAGGGAAGGCAACGCGCCGTAGAGCGCGTTGCCCTGGAGATAGAGCGAGGTGAGATGGGATAGGGAGTTCAGATCCGGAGGTAGCGTTCCGGTGAGTGACTGCGAAGCGATGTTGATTGAGATGACGCGGTTGGCGCTGCAGTCCACGCCCGTCCAGCTGCAGAAGCTGGTGGCCGACCACCCCGAGGGCGTGGGAGTGAGGGCTTTGGCGAGCTTGGACATGAAGGCGGCATCGTCGGCAGTGGCGATGCATAGGAGACTAAAACTGCAGATGACTTTGGAGACGGAAAGTAGAGTTACAGACTTAACGGGGTCTGTCAGTGTCATTGAGAATGGGTACAAAGAAGGTCATACACAACCAAATATATAAGGAAAAGAAAATACCATTACTCACACAAACAATCCAGTATTTTATATTATAATAATCATTTTATTTTATTTTTTATTTTTATTAAATCTGATTATTATATTAAAAAAAAGGAGAGTGTATGAACCAAATTTTACTTTAAAAGATGTCAAAATATCACCTCTCAGGTATGGAAAAAACTATTTTGAGACGGAGATTCACTAAACATCCAAATTATAATATTATAATATTAATTTTTAATTATTTTTATTTTATTAAAATTTTCCTTATTATTATATCAATAAATATGGATTTTACGCGAAGATGTTTATATTCCGAGGATGTCACCGTATCACCGATCTATAATCATTAATGATGGTATACGAACTCCTTGGTTCTCACTAAGCATCTAATACAATCCATCTAATAAATAAATATAAAAAAATGTGAAAATAGTATTTTTAATAATTATTTAATATCTCAATTATTATAATATAATAATAATACTAATAATAATAATAAAATCTATTATAAATATTATATTTAAGTTGTTGAAGAAGTATATCACCGTAAGGAAGAGATCTTCCAATCATTGAAAAGGATTTTCTATATTGAAACTGGTATTTATTATAAGAAATAATAATAATTATATTAGTAAAAAAGTTGTGAATAATTATCAAATTAAATAACTTATATTTTTGCAAATAATTTATAACAAAAATAATTTTAACTATTTTGTATTTTTAAATACTTCATTCATATTTATTTTTTATATTTTAATTATATCAAAATTATTATAGATTTTTATGTTTTATTCTCTTTATTTATTATCTGAATCCCATTTATTTTCGTAGGTGTTCATTTATATATTTTCTGTAAAATAAGTAAGGTAATTTGTTTCCTATGCATAGTGATATTTGAAAAATGATTCCAACAAAGTGACGAGCAAATGAAGCCTACAAAAACAAGATAAATATAAACATATTAGAATAAGAATAAAATAGAAAAAATTATATATGTCATTTAGGTGTTAAAAACACAAAGAATAGTAATTTATATCACCGACTTTACATTTATATTAGAAAGAAAAATGATAAATAAAACCAAAAAATAATAAATAACACCTATAAAGAAAAAAGAATATAAAATTTATAGTTATTAATGTGAAAGAAAGAAATATCGAAAAATATTAAATGTCAATTCCGTGTTTAAAAATAATGAATATTTATATATTATCACTTTATTTAAAAACCAATATAAGAAAAGAAAATTAAACAATAAAATTGTTTAATGAATGTTTATATATTATTTCTTTAAAAAATCAATATTTTTTTCAAGTTTTTCGATAAAATTACTCATTTAAAATGATAATGCTTATTCCCTTTTTATTAAAATGCTTTTGAAAGTCCACGCTATTTTTAAAAGAATTACATTCTCATAAAGTAGAGTTTGTATTTTATTATTAATAAATTTATTTCTAAAATATTCTTTAAAATATAATAAATTATGCAAACACATATTTATAAACAATGATTGATCAACGGTATTTCTAAGTAAGAATAATTGAATTTTTACCTTCAAAAATATAAAAAAGAGATTTATGATAATGTAAGAGATTTATGATATTACGTTATTTTTTTTAAAGTAACTCACCATTAATTTTATTTCATTAAAAAATTTCTTAATAAATTTTAAAAAATCTATTCCCTCTCATTATTTAATTTAATAATTTATATAAGTATGTGAATAACGGAGTTGCTCTAATATATCGTCCAAACTGTGCCTATTTGTCCGTCTTCATAAATTTGTACCTTGTCGTGCGTAATTTACTCAATCATGTAATTTTCACGTGTTGAATGAGTTAGGAAACACACACTTAAAATACTATTAAAAATTCTGACAGGGATTTGACTAAGTGATGTTAGACTTTAGAGTCATTGATTTAAACACAATTTTGTTTTTTTAATTCAATCTATTAGAAATTGGAAAATAAAATAAAACTTGTTCACTCTCTTCATTAAATATTTTATAAACAACATATAGAATAATAAAATGAAGGGTTTACCCATATAAATTTAATTGAATAATACAATATTGGTGTAAAGATCTTTTAAGTGTTAATTAATCTTACATTTATACATAATTAAAAATTATCTTTTAAGTTTTTTTTTTTAAAAAGAAACATTATGATGTGATTTTTAAATATTTGATATTTACTCATAATAGAAATCAATATGATTTGAAAAATGTTATTCGTGGAAAAAATGTATAACAATAAAAAAAAATAGTTAATGTAATGCATCGAGATAAAAAGAGTGTGTTTATACGTAATGAAATGTTCAGAGATAGAAAAATGAGAGTGCGTATTTTGAGTTTATATTAATGGATAATATGTTTTTAGATAAATAATCAAAATAAACGTTGATTACGAGTTGACCATTTATTTTGAATTTGAGAAACTTTAAGTAAAAAATAGAAATATTATTTTAAACTTAAGATTACCTTATTCTAAAATAGGAAAGGCACTCTAGAGAAAATAAAAATAAAAAATCGATACTAAATTATTTGTAATAAAACTAAAATTATATACATATGTATAATTTGTGCTGACACTCAATATATTATGCGAAATTTTTTAAGAGTTTTTTTAAATTTCTTGTCAATTAACTATTTTTAATCATCAGTAATTATTACTTATAAAAAATCAAATACCATTTTTTAGATGAATTTTTAAAATTATTGAACTGGTATTGTGACAAGAGGTACGACTTTTATCTATTTAATAAAGTAGTTTATTATTACTATAAAAAATTTTACTTAGAGTTAGAAATTATTTTAAGTAAATTTATTCTCAATATGGCGAATGATCATGAAGAAGTAATGTTACGTAATTCTTCCTGTGGGAGGGAAACACGAGGGTGAATTGTTAACATTGTTTACATTCTTCACGATCGACCTTTTATGTCTGGGCCATATTATTTGTCTTTGAATGAAGTTTATAAGTGATTTTGTGTAGTTTGATTATTACATATTCTTGTTCTTGCGTTAGACAATTTAACAAAAGAGAGAATATTCCTCTTTTAAAAATGCTCACCATTATAGAAGGTATAAAAATAAGTTATTCTTCAAATTTTTAATGTATCTTATTCAAGATCAAGATACTTCTTATATATATATATATATATATATATATATATATATATATATATATATATATATATATATATATATATATATATATATATATATATATATCCGAGAGTCACCCAAACAATATTCGAACCTTAAAATTTGTTCAAATATTACATTACATCCTCGGACCATACATAAAGCATTATTCTACCATCACTTTATTTTTCATCGGAGGAGCCATTTAAGAAACCTAAAAACTGATAATTACATAAAAGTTATTCCATTTAAGTATAAAATCATGAATGACAAATCAGTTTATTATTTAACTCGTGTCAGTGTCAGTGTCAGACATGTATGCAAAATATTTTTGCACAAAGCATTTCTATCGGCAGAGAATAGAAGATGTAGGCAAACAAGATAAATTGAGGTTTTTCTACATTAGCACGTATTCGTTTTTTAATTACTTAAATAACATATTGTATGTTTTATTTACCTATATAACACGGTTTTCTTAAGTTGAGAATTCGGTTTTCTGGAATATAAAACCTAAACATAATTATATTTGATAATTTTTTCAAACAATTTAGAATTCGATTTTCCGACAATCGAATTCTGAATAGTTTTCTTTTTATTTTATTAAGAAAAAAATTAATTAATATATATATATATAATATGTTATAATATTTTATTTAACATTTATAGTTTTAAATTAGGTATTTAAAAAGATTTGTATATTTCTAAAATTAATAATATATTTAGATTTATTGTTGAAAGTAGTAAAATAATATTTTTAAAATATATTATTAAATATTATAGTTAAATTTATTTGTATGATTAAACTTTTTCTAATTTTGTGATTTATTTGATATTATAATTTTTTTAGAAATTAATAATAAATTAGGAGGATAATAAAAATCTTAAAATTTATATGTATATAAGAACAAATAATATTTTGATGTAAAATTACATATATATATATATATATATATATATATATATATATATATATATAGATAGATAGATATTCTAAAATATAATTTATAGTAATTACTACAATATAAAATATATATTCCAAAATATAACTTATTTTCATTTATATATATATATATATATATATATATATATATTATAGAAATTAAAATAAATTCTATTTTAGAATATATATATATATATATATATGTATATATATATTAAATATAAATTATTTTCAAGTTGATAATTATTATTCTAATTTATGCAAAATATATATATATAATAGCGGTCCGAGTAGTAACCGCTCTTAAAAGTGATTATATGATAGCGGTTCCATATAACCGCTCTTAAAAGTGACTCTATGATAGCGGTTCAGCTTAACCGCTATTATATGTTGAAAAACTAATCGTCAATTTCAAAAAGTAATCGATTAGTTTTCATACTGAGAACCGATTATTTTTTAAAATAATTGATTAATTTTTAAATAATCAATGAGTTTTGCAAATGTATATTAAATAATTATAAATAAAAAAATATATCAAATTAAAATATATATTATATAAATTATAAATATAAAGTTAAAAAAATTATATTTAAAATTATAACCTTAAAAATTATACTTAAAAAAATTATATAATCGTATATAAGAAGAAATAATATTTTGATGTAAAATTATATATATATATATATATATATATATATATATATATATACTCTAAAATATAATTATATTAATTACTATAATATAAAATATATATTCCAAAATATAACTTATTTTCATTTATATATATATTATAGATATTAAAATAAATTATATTTTAGATATATATATATATATATATATTAAATATAAATTATTTTCAAGTTGATAATTATT